GCGTTGCATTCAGAAGAAAAAACAGAAAAGGCAGAATGTAGCTTTTCTGAAATTACCTCTGAGTCACACACAACCGCGCTGGTAGCATGATTATCAAATTTAGAACCATCAGTATAAATTGTACGAAAGTCATTAAAATGCTGTAACAAGGCATAAAATATTTGTTGATATATAACTGGAGACGTTTCGTCCTTAGTCAAACCTTCAAAAATATCGAAAATTTTAACTTTGATGTTATTCCAAGAAGGAATAAGTTCAGTAATCTCTAAAACATTAAAGTCTTCTAAATGTAAATCAGTCAAAAGTTTTTTCATCCTTAATCCAAAGCTAAAATGTGTAGAACATGATGGTGTTAAAACATGAGAGTATAATGGATGTGAAGTATGACATTTTATATGAAAGTAAAAGTTCAGAGACAGTTTATTTCGCCTCGAATTAAGAGAAGGTTCGTTATACAATGCATATAAGCTACTAATATGTGATGTACGAAAAGCTCCTGTGGCAATTCTGAGTCTCTGATGATGGATGGTGTCCAAATACTTTAAAACAGACTTTCTAGCTGATCCATAAACAACAGCAGCATAATCAAGTTTAGAACGGATTAAAGCGTTGTGTATTCTAAGCATGGATTGAGTATCTGCCCTCCATGATGTATTTGCAAGTACTTTTAAGATGTTTAATTTTGCATAACAGGATTTTCGTAGGTTATGTATTTGAGCTGAAAATGTTAATTTAGAATCTAGTGTTACACCCAAAAATTTCTTTTCTTGAACAATAGGAATTTGCGCATTATTAATGTATAACTCAGGATCAGGGTGAATTCCTCTCTTTCGGCAAAAATGAATGCATGATGTTTTAGAAGATGAAAAGGTAAAACCATTGAGTTCAGCCCATTGTATTGACCGTATTTGGTAGGATAGATAAAAGCTCGTTCATTTTGATGAGAAACAACGTTACGCTAATAACCGTTGCTTGTGGAACTCCTTCAAGCTGGTTAAAATTATCGAATAAAATTGAATTGATGCCTACCTGAAAAGTCCTGTCAGCTAAAAAGTTCTTGATGAAATAAAACATGTTTCCCGAAACATTATTTTTGATCAGGTCCATTAGAATACCATGTCGCCAAGTTCTGTCATATGCTTTTTCAAGGTCAAACAACACTGTTATGAGATGCTGTTTTTTGAGGAAAGCTAATCGTATTTCAGTTTCGAGATTTTGTATATTGTCGATAGTTGATCGGCATTTTCTAAAGCCACTCTGTTTATTATGTTATCTGTTATTCAAGAATTGTACGAGTCTATTATTAATTATCCTTTCAAGTAGTTTGCAAAGACAGCTAGTTAATGCTATTGGTCTGTAATTGGATGGGTTTTTAGTATCTTTACCAGGTTTTGGGATAGCTATTATAATAGATGTTCGCCAAGAAGATGGAAAGTCTCTCTCCAACCATATTTTGTTAAATAGTTTTAAAATTACTTGAAGATCAGACTCTGAAAGGTTTTTCAGCATGTAATTATGAATATTGTCAGGTCCTGCAGCTGTAAGTCGGGCTACACTGAGAGCGGATTTTAATTCAGAGACTGTTATAGGACAATTATATTCATTAAGCGGATAATTTGGTGGCTTCAAAGGTATTTTTTAGATTTTATTTTTGTGAGATTGAAATTTTGACGAATAATTAATTGGATTTGACGCGCTGCTGAAGATTTCGGCTAGAACATTTGCGATATTTTTAACGTCACATATTTTGTTGTTGTGCATTCCTAAATGAGGGATAGATTGATTTTGATAATGATCAGATATGGATTTAATTTTTCGCCAAACTTCACGGGATGTAGTGCTGCTATTTATGTTGGATACATATTGTATCCAACAATTCTTTTGGCTTCTTCTCCTAATATTTCTGGCTAGGGCTCGTCATTTTTTGAAAATAATAAGATTTTCGATGGTGGGAAACCTGCGAAATATTCTCCACACTCTTTTCTGTGCTTTATGAGCGGAGCTGCATTCCTGGTTCTACCAAGGTTTAGGGTACCTTGGGAAATTACCAGTAGTGAGCGGTATAGATTTCTCTGCAGCAGCCAGAATAGCATTAGAAATTAATGCTGTAGCTTCGTTGACAGAGTTATTGACTAAATCATCATTTAATTTAACTGAATTTTGGAATAAAGTCCAGTTAGCACGTTCAAACTTAAATTTAGATGATGCGGGAAGATTCCTTTGTCCAGATCCAGTTATAGATAGAAGTAAGCCCAGATAGCAATATAAGTTTTTTTTTCACCCAACAAAAACCTTTTCATGCAAACCTAAAAAGGGTTTTTACATGGTTTACGTGTAAACCATCTAACCTTAAAACGAGGTCTGCGACAATCTGCTCTATTCTACGCACATTATCCTAATCCAAAACCTTGGAAAACAACCTTAAAACGAGGTTGTTAGTTAGTTATTTAGTGTTTTTGGCGCAAGAGCCAGAAATGGCTATACCGCACCATGAACTTGGTCTAAAAAACGAGTGCTTGGTTTAAATAAAAGGTAAAATTAAACTGAGGTATAAAATCCAATGTCCTTAAGGTATAACAGAAGATTATAGAGTGGTTTATCACCAATAAGTAAATGTAAATGTAGTATTATTGCAGCCAAAATAGCGTTGTCTTAGAAATTTAAATTTGTTACACTGGGTCAGAACGTGTTTCGCAGTTAATGGTTCATTACAGCTAGAGCAATCTGGTGCAGGTTCACCTAGTAAGAAATGTCTATGTGTAATACGTGTATGACCAATGCGCAAACGATTCAATATAACTTCGTATTTTCTCGGCTAACTTTGTTTCATTACTGGTTCTATATTTGGTATAAGACTGTGTAACTTGTTATTTGCCTCCTCATTCCAACTTTTTTGCCATTCGAACTGTAGTGTAAGATTAATCGCATTTCTAATATCTGAATATGATAATGGTCGAACTGAAAGGTTTTGGCTCAATTTAGCGAATTCGTCAGCCTTTTCATTACCCAGAATGCTACAGTGCCCAGGAATCCACGATAACATCATAGAATAACCCAGACTTTGTAAATTTTCATAAGTATAAACAATATTAACTACGATTGAATGAGACCTGTGGGAAATATTGTTTAATGCTGCCAGACAACTTTTAGAATCGGTATAAATGTACCATTTTTTATGTGTTTGGGTAAGGATAAATTGTAGAGCTAATAAGATGGCGTGAGCTTCGCATGTAAAAACTGAACTAGATGGATGCAGTTTTTCAGTGATGATTTCGTTCGGCGTGACCACTGCAGATGCTGTATGACCGTCATTCTTCTAGCAATCAGTGAAAATAGGAATAAATTCCTGATACTGTTCACGATGTGAATTAAACATTTGTCGGTACATTAAAATAGATGTCTCTTGTTTTGTCGGATTTTTAAAAATATCAATAGTGTTAAAATACATTACATTCCAAGGTGTTTGTTTATATGCAGGTAAAATTTCATAATCCTCAACATTTAAAATAAAAGCTTTTTCATCCTGAGTTCAAAAGTCGGAATACAGGATGGTCTATTGTTAAAAAGAACTTCATAATCAGGTGTGAAAACCTTATCAAACATGGGATGATTAGGATGACTCATTAGATGAAAGTAGTAATTTAATGAAAGCTTAGTTCATCGGGAGATGAGAGATGCTTCCTGAGTTATTACTTGCAAACTTTTAATGGGTGAAGTGCGAAAAGCACCAGTTGCTATACGCATGCAGCTATTATGAACTGTGTCTAAGTAACGTAAAACGGATTTTCTGGCAGATGAGTAAATCGCAGAACCATAATCTAGTTTCGAGCGGATGATACTTCTGTATATTTTGATCATTGAATTTGTGTCTGCTCCCCATGAACAATTTGATAGAACTTTTAGCAGGTTTAACTTTGTCACACATGTCTTTCTTAAGTACTGGGTATGACGTTTAAATGTCAGTTTTGAGTCTAAAATCAATCCTAAAAATTTGACTTCATTTGTGACAGGAATAAGCGAATTGTTAAAAAATATTTCTGGATTAGGATGCATACCTCTTTTTCTACAAAAGTGAAAGCAAGACGTCTTAGTGGGTGAAAAAGTAAAACCATTTAAATCTGCTCATTTTAAAACCTTATTTATAGCATGTTGAAGTTGGTGCTCTATAGTGCGCATATGCGAAGCTCTACACGTAATGCGAAAATCATCCACAAATAGTCTGCCGTCAACTGTTAGTGGTAAGCAAGATAATATTTCATTAATTTTAATAAGGAACAGTGTCACACTTATGACGCTGCCCTGTGGAACTCCTTCTTCCTGTTCGAAAATATCAGGAATGACTGGGTCTAATAAAACTTGAAGAGTTCGGTCTGTTAGAAAATTTTGAATAAAATAAAACATATTACCGGTTATATTGTACATGATAAGATCTTTTAAAATACCGTGCTTTCAAGTGCGATCGTAAGCCTTTTCCATGCCGAGCCACTAAATGTTGGCGCTTTAAAAAGGCTTCTCGTATTTCTGTTTCAAGTATGAGTATATTATCTATTGTTGAATAACATTTTCTAAAACCACTTTGTCCGCGAGATAAAATGCTACGAGATTCGAGTACATGTACTAATCTATTATTTATGATTCGTTCAAGTAGTTTGCACAGACAACTGGTTAGAGCAATAGGTCGGTAATTGGTTGGGTTTTTGTGTCCTTGCCGGGTTTAACAACTGGAGTGCACAAAACAACATGCATATAAGAATAAAATTTGATATACGGGGCAAAACATTCAAATTAATGTAATTCAATTCAGAAAGATGGAATAAATGCATTTAAAATTTTACAAAAGTTTTAAGGCATTTTCAATAATGGAACACCTAAGAAAACAAATAAAAACAATTAACAGCTGGTTTAAAATGGATGCTTTCAACTTACTGATAAATTCTGCAAAATACAAAATTAGTATATACACATAAGTTGAAGTTTTACAAAAATTTGACATAGATGTTAATGCATTTTTAATAACATTTAATATAAACAAAAGTAATCTGGATATACAAAAATCATAAGTAAATACAATTAAGATATATACAAAGTCGAAGCTTTTTCCAAATTTGACACAGGCGCTAATGAATTCCTTACTGCCCTTTAAATAAAATAGATTTGGTGTTCACGCTTCTGCACTTATTCCTTTGTAACTCTTGAGTTTTCAGCTTCCCAATGTGGCAAAGGCGAATTTTAATATAATCAAAAAGAACAGACTTCATCAACAAAATCTTGTGGTTATTCAATGGACCTTGATCGTAAGAGTGTTCATTCAAATCATTGAAAACCCCATTCATTGTATTTGAGCTGATGAAACGTAAGCTTCCAGTAATAAGTTTTTGCACAACATGCTTGACATGTAATCTCCCAGAAGGTTGCATCATCCTGATAATTTTTTCAGCCACCTTACAAATTTTTACAACATCTAGGGATGGAAAAACTAACCCACCCTTATTCTTTCGTTGGGTCAATTTGTAATTGCTGAATGGAAGGGAAGAAGGGCTATTAGATGAATGAGGCAAGAGTGGTAATATTTCATCTTTCAGTGTCAAAACTGAAGTACAATTAGTACACTTGACATTTTTCTGCAGCTTACGGCTAACAAACCCAGCAATATGTGACGTAACATCACAAAGATATTCATTTAAATGAACTTCTGGATCATCAGCTTCTTCCTCTATGTCAGAATTTTCCTCATCATTAATGTGTTTACTGTTAATATTCACAGCAGATGACGCATTCAAAATGGAACTGCTGTCTAAAGGCATACAGTTCTCTTTGCCACTACTTATGATCTCTGTGTGACATAATGGTCTTACATAGGCAGCTGTAAATTGTTTGCAAGTTGGGTTATTATTAAACCCACCCTTGCTTCTGATGGCAGAGAAGAACATTTCTAGGTGGTCTTGCGATAACTTGTATGTCATTAAAAAAGACATTTTAGCTCCAGGCTCCTTAATTAAATAATTATATAGTGATGACACGCTATATAAACAAATTAAAAAAAACCGAAGAAACAGGTTCTGAGATTGCTCTCAAGAATCAGCGGTCCACCTGGAGCAGTTCTCAGCTCTTCAATATACAGTTCTGCTTCCTCCATGAAGGCAGAGAATTCTTTTTCATTTTTAAGAGTCAAAGGACTCTTAAAACCTTTACTGGCTAAATTGCGAGAATTTAACTTATCAAAGAGGTTATTAAAAATCCTCACAAATTTTACAGTGGCTCCGCATCCTTGAAAGTCAGGATGTTTAAGGTCCTTTTCAAGGTACTTCAGAGCATCAGCAACACTGTTACTTAATGTCTGAGCAGCAAGACGTACCTTCATCTTTTCTCTGTACCATTCAATGTGCACCTTTTTAAATTTTGTGGCAGCAAGCAAACCTTCTTCATTTTGCAATCTCCCTAACCTCTAAATTCTCGCAATTCAGCTAGAATTTTTGATTCCAGGAAATGAAACCATCCCTAGGATGGTAAATTGATTCTTTGGAAGCTAAAGTATTACGAATCAATTTCAACATGTGGCTAGGGTCCAATAGAACAAATATATTTTTGCCTGTAACAGGTTGCGGAAAAAATGGTTTGAGGTTGGCCAAGTCAAAATCGGCACCAAGTTTCTTGGCTGTTGCCAAATTAACACTAGCACGTCAAATGTCAAGCTGACAATTTCAATTTCTACATCAGAAACAAATTCAATGCCCTTTTTAATGAGATTTGCCCTTTCACATCCGTCAATAAAAAAATACACAATCGGTATCTTCCAGTTTCCATTAAGGCAGTTAAGCATGAAAACGAAAGCCTCTTTAGCTTCCGTGAACTGATCTTCGTCATTGATGTTAGTTCCAAAATCTACATAGCCACTAAATTTTTTGCCATCCCATTCAACATGGCGCCTTATAGCCATCTCATCAGTGATCATGCCACAGATAATTGGCTTCTTCGCAGCTTTTGCCTCTGCCACTTTCATTTTTAAGGCATTTATAGCTGGTACAGAAAAACCTGGCGAGCCATCAATGGCCTGGTACCATTTTTTAATGGTAGAGGGGTGCGGCAAACATGTATTGAAGACATTTCTAACATACTTTTTAAAATAATAATTTTTCATAATAATTTTTAAAAAAAAATAATAGCAACACTTTTTTTTTAGGGAAACCATCAAATGATCTGCAACATCCTGATTATGAGCCGTCTATATTTAAATTTCACCCAGAAGCTGCTAGTGATGGAGAAAAAAAAGGCAGAAACGCTATGAACGGAGTAAAAACCGTGCCTAACTCGATTCAGAGAATGTTGACAACGGTAATTTTTATAACATAAAATGTTTCTTTTTGTAAATATATTATTTATCATCATCAATATCCAATAAAGTGCATGTAATTTTTTTTCATGCCTATATATATTTGAAATAGTTTAAGTAATAGCCCGGTGTGTATGGAAGGATAGCTTTCAAAAGGAATGTTTTAAACAATTTATGATTGTGAATGCTTATAACAATTTATGTTTTGAATAATCTTTTTACAATTATCTTGAGACAAAACATTGTCTTTTAAGTTATGCACAAAAAAGCCGTGTAAGAGAAATATATATAGAGATACTCTAATATGCTTTAATATTTTTTCAGATTAACTTTAGAGCCTTGATTTTAACTTGAAGGTTTTTTTCTGTTTTTTTTTTCAAAAAAAAAATTCAGTTTTTAAAAATATAGAATAAGAAATTTGTGTTTTACATTAAAAATTTGAATATTTATTATATATAAAATTTTTCTTAATAGTAAATAAGAAAAATTATTTTGGTTTAATTTTTTTAATCAAGTGGTTTAATATAAAAATCTTTTTTATTATTAGTTTTTATGATAGAAATTACTTTATTTTACCTATAGACATTTATTTCTTTAGTATCAAGGCAGATGTCAGATGAATCTCCTGATGTCAGCTCCTTGCCTGTTTCTACCAATACAAACATAATTTTAGTGGATGCAGCATCCCAAACAAGTATAACACTAGATGATATGGAATACTTTGAAAAAAAACACAAATCCTCGAAAAAGAAAACATCCTCCTCCGTGAAAAAAATCTACTTACAAGAAAGAACATTTGAAGATGTTACTAATCACAGCCCAGATAGATTTAAGGGAACGGTGAACCCTAAAATTAAGAAAAAACCTGCAAATTTTCCATTTTAATTTTTTTTTCAAATAAATCATCTCTGAAATGTTACCTATAAAATAAAACAAACATTTTGTCAATCCGACCAACCATTGCCGAGATATTACACTTTTTATAGAAATCGAAATTTGAGCAGACGATAATTTTGACGTGTTTTGAAATAAAAACTAAGTTTTTACTCCTGGTTTTCAGTCGTTTTAATTAATTCTGTACTTTTTATTTCATTTAAATTTATTTTCAGTTTCATATTTAAAAGCTTTGATAGCATCAGAGATAAACTGTGACTGTTAACTGTAAATATTAAGTTTGTTTATATTTGTATTTTTGAATAGATTCATCCACATTTTCTCATTTTATATTTCTTCTAATAGAAAAAAAAAACAGTTCTTTTCAAAACTAATCACTAAAATTTAATACGTTTTA